ATATTATACTATGCTTAATAGTCTTATGGTATGTATATCATAGTTTAATTGATAGTTAGAATATATATGATATAACTATATAAGTAGGTAAAATAAGACAGTATGAAATGAAAACGAGTAAGAACTAAGGAAGTACAGACACAAGTTAAAATCTAAAATATTATTGTTGTAAGTGGACTATGGAGCTGTTATTTGTTGAAATTTATCTGGATTGCTTATCTTTGTTGTCATGTCATTTACATAACAAGATTTATTACCTGAAAATTAAAATTTGGTTATTAGTAATAACTTATTATATTATTTAATTAAAATCAATAATATATGTTTGCATATAAACCTGGATTAAAGAAAATTTTTTCCAAGCCAATTATGGGCGATTCGTAGAGTAAAGTCAAACAGAAAGCCGCCAAAAACGATAGAGTGATATCTCCAAGTGACAACCACACCTACGATGACAATAATAATAATAATAATTTAAAGACGAAATTGAAACACCTTTAAGTGGAATATAATATAATAATAATGAGGTGGTATCAAATAGCCATCACTAATATTTACCAAGTTATAGATGGACGCGTGAAACGGTGTCCGAATGGAGCCGACTGTATACAACTGTAGTCCCCCGTGACACAAGAATGCGCAGTACGTTAACCGGCTCAGTGTTATTACCGGTTTCCAGCACAAAATGGGTTCGATAAAACCTGGATAAATAATATGAGCTCATTAGAAAACTAATAAATGCCTAGTAATCAACAACGTGTAYGGCTACAGCTAAGATAATCTATGGACTGTGATTCAAAGTGACAATAGGTTTGCACTTTGCCTTGTAAACATCGTTTGTAGGTATTGTTTTTACCTCCGTTACCAGTGGACACTGCGATGATTGTCCAACTGACACCCGCTGCCCACGTGATGCGGTACAATGCACCGTACARAGCGGCAACAAAAGCGTCGTACTTGTAGCTGGGCTTGTAAAACCACCAGGCCGAGAACAGTGTGCCGAATATGAGGACTATGGAAACGATCCAACTCGACCATACCACGTACTGATTGATAAACAGTACAAACAAAATATCATTTAATTATATTAAAACATTTAAAACTATTTCCATTTACCGCCGATAAGTGAACCTCGTATAATGTACACGTAAATAGTACTATAGTAGTATGTCTCTTATTGTAGAGTAAATGGGCACAGCAGTGTATTTACTCCATTTACGGGGGGGGGGGATTTGGGGGATCAATCCCCCCTTGGTCTTTTTTTCTATTATTAAAGAATTTAACTATATATATCTAGACACTAAATCGTGTTTAATATTGTTATATGTAACATAATATGTTACTTTTATGTACATTCAATGGCTCATCCTCTCCCTATTATAACAATTCTTAAATACGCTACTGAATAGTGAATGGACATATTAATTATAAGGAATTAGGTGCACGTGCACCAGAATAATAATAATTATTGGTTGTAAGCTGAAAGTTTACATTCTTCACATTTTTGTAGTTCACATTAAGTAGGTAGCTAAATGGTTGGTCTGTCAAGAAAATGGATCTTTTTTGATTATTTTCTTCCGCACATAATCGGAATATTTTGAGTGCGTCCCGTTATTAATTTTTATCTTTTTCATAGCGAAGTGCGTCCTCAGTCCACAACTATAGGTATATTGCTATTTAAGATAGACTAATCGTCTAAAAAATTTTAAGATATAGGTCTGACGATCGAATATGATGGTACAAATGTTCAACTTTTTATACGTAATCATTTATTTTTACCAACTTCTATGGTTGACGATTGTGGTAACGATAATATATTACATTTTATCTTAAGATAATCTTTTTAGAATAAAAAATCTATTACAGTCAATAGAAAAACGAGACATATTTTTGTGTTACTGAAAAGTACCTATACCTACTATGTCCAATGAGAAAACGCACCGCGTGCCGACTAAATTTTGGTTTTTCTACGCATTCCCCACGCACACACCAGCCATAGCCCATAAGGGAACTAGTTTCGATAACCGGGTGACGTGAGGGGGGATGCGCTGATACGCAAAATCCGTGCGTTCTCTCGCTAGACAGACTGGACAGAGCTGAGTACTTTTTGACTTATTCACTTAAACATGCGTGCTATTAAATATTTTTCTTTAATATTTCTCATTTTACCGCTCGATGKTTTACCCACGCCCAGCCAGCTATTTTTTCGATACATTATATATACCTATAATATAATTATATGTACCTATTGTAGAAAACGTGACATCGACATTTTTGAAAAATTATTATTTAGTACCTACCTAATTATAAACATTTAAATGTTAGATGGCAGTAGTGATATCATATCTACTTGCTAGTAGGTATAGTACAAGAGCACTACGCAAAGTAATGGTGCTCTTCATAACCGCTCATAAAAACTTATAACTTTTAATATCTATAAGTTATAATTTATTTTAACTACTGTATCATTTGTTTAAAGTTGCTTAGAAAAAAATTCTGCTATGGGACAGGAAATTAAATACGTATGTTTAGTATTTAAACATGTAATAGTACACTTGATGATAAAAAATAGTAAATAATATTACCTTTTCAACAATAATGTTGTATTGTTATCAATTATAACAATCTAGGCGCCCTAGGTTAATCAAACATTTTTAGTGATAAAATTGTTATTCTATATATAGTAGGTATTATAGTATAGTTACATATTGATATGAAATTACGTTATTTGAAAGTACCTAAGCCCAGAATGACTTTGGCATGTTTTGTTTGCATCGACCAATTATTATAATTTTTTTCAATTTTTAATACTTTTATACGTTTATCTATGTCTTATATATTTTGAATTTTGCTACAAAATTTCATGTTCCAAATGGAGTAGATATAATATTAACATTAGGAAATGAAAACGAAATRCTAACAATAAAATAGTTATTGAATAATTTTTTACAAGATTTATCACAAGACAGCTTTTTAATATATGATTTAGTCTATTACTATGATTTCTATTATTTTTTTCCTCCAATATTGGCTAGCTGGAAAATTGTAATTATTTATGTCACTATAATAATAGGTTTTTATTTCTTATTAGTTTTTTTATGAGTATTTATATTGATATTAATATTGTAGATGTACAATATTCTAGTTCACGCTATTTCAATAATACAACATTCAGTATAGAATATTATTCAAGCAAGCTAAATTTAGTTAATTATTTATAAAAAAAAAAAAATGAACACACGTGTTTTTTAATAAATTAATTTKAACAAAAAAGTTAGAAAAAATTAACGAATTTATGACATTGGTTAAATTGTATGCTTATAGGCATGGATGCAACTAGGGAACTTGGAGGGGGTAGGGTTAAAATTGTATCAACAGCATAGACCCTGAAAATCTATATTTTAAACTAAAATAATGTAATTAAAAACTGGGTGGCTACAGATGAAACTATGGGGAAGGGCTAAGTTCCCCTCAATTGGACCTATGTGCTTATAAACTAGATCATATTTTGAATGAATAATTTCCAAGAAAGCACATCTGTTTTCGGTGGGAGTTCAATAAAATAGGTATAGTCGTAGGCATAGGAACCTACTACCTACAACAAATTCAAAGACGGACATCAGTGACGAAACAAATATAATACAACGTGCTAATTAATTTCGTCTAAACTGGAAGTTTTTTTTTTTTTTGTTACTGATTTGAGATAATTTTTAATTAGAATAAAATGTTCCTTTCTGCGAGTTATTTACGGCACCTAGTACCTACGCGTCTCGTTATAAATTCTACCATTCCTATAGGAATACATATATGTGGCAAGTAAAGATATTTAAGTATATTTGAAAACTACCACTAGTCCACTAATAGGGGTTCGTTACTTTTGTCAGTGTACCTATAAACAGAATACGTCATTATGAATCACGATTATAAATGGGTACGCACTTTGTTAATTTTGTAAGACGCGTTTTTCATCTTGTGCCGTACCAAGCCAGTCACCATGCCGATGTAGTACGGCGTGGCTCTCGTATGCGTTGGTATGTAAAGGCTACGAAATGTTTTGTTAGCGATGGGATTTCGAAGTGTCTTGATGTGCACCAACAGGAAGGCGTCCAGTTTGCCCGAATACGTGACAATGAAAGTAGTGAAAATCGACGCGGCCAGTATGAGTGCCAGCACAGAGTTTCCGATTTTCGGTTTGTGGTACAACAGACTGACGATGATCGGGGCTGTCAAGAACAAGTGCGTGTCGCATGCGATGTACCAAGACTGTATCATGCACTGCGCGTTGAAAGAGGTAAAAATTAATATTTCACACCCTAGGTCAATATATTGTACATAATAAATAATAATAAACATAAACATAAGAATATATTTATATTATTTCATATTTATATCGATATTACGTACAGGTGGTGATTGGGAGAAGTGAATTACCCCGTTGTAGCTGAATTGGTTCCCATTCGGCCGAATTGGAGACCGTTTAAATTTGTGACGTATCCCATTACAGGTCGAGTTGGTTCCCACTTTTCGTAGTAAGATGGTCAAGAACCCACATTTCCATCATTACCATCATTTTTACAGACTATAAGGACTGCCAAYTTAGAAGTTATAATAAATAATATTATAATAATCGTTAAGAACTAATATAATAATTTATAAACGGAATTTTTTAATATTGTSGAGGTGATTATTTGAAGCAAACTTTTTAAAAATATTTATTTTTAATCATGTRAGTTCCTACTAACGTTGTCCAYCATAAAATTTTTCAAATATGATTTTATTTCCAAGCAATTGGTTGAAATTGAAAATTTGAACTATTTTTTGTTCATATTAGTCATATTACAATTGGTCACAATTCACAGAACTGAACAGAAACGGGAACCAATTCAGCTTATCTAATAAAATACATTTTTAAATGGAAATCATTTCGGTACTAACCAATTTTTGAGGTTCAATATAGTTGTTTATGTAGAGTATGTTGGTCCACCAGCTTTCGTGGCACCTCTCCACTTCCAAGCCCACCTTCTCGTTCCACAGAGGTCCTGATCCTATTTTTATAAAAATCGTACAGTAAAATCCAATCACTATCGCGTAGACTGGTGTCAACCTATTAAGTAAATAATATTTTTGGTTAGTTTTTTCTACATTTTTCACTGTGTATTCCTTATTATTTCAATAACTATTGTTGTTAGGTACTTACCTCACGTAACGGTGTATATAAAAAAGCGGTATTCGAAAACCATTTGGGTTCTTCTGGATGTGTTCCAATAGTAAGTAACATGCAAGGAAACCACTTATTATGAAAAATGTATCCACTAGTATGGGTCCGTTAAGTATGATCATGGCTTCGAGTTTGCTATAAAACTAATCCAAAAGGCAAAAATCATGTWTTAGTTTTACATAATTTATTTTTTCATGGTGCCCTTGTGGTAGACATATAGATGATGAAGTTATATCCATAGGATAATAGGTGTATCCTATGTACAGTGGTTCAGATAATTGTAATTTTTTCAGATCATTAGTAATTTTGGGGAATGTATATAATATGTATATTAGTCTTATTTTTTTAGCTACAGGAGCTTTATTGAAATTATTTGATRTATTCTGTAATTGAAATTTAAAAATAAAGAAAAWKSMAWTTTYMAAAWTWAAWTT